GAATGCCTTCGGAAGCCTTGTGCCTCAGTTTCAACCCCTCGAAAGCTTTAGAACAACAAGGCCAAAAACTGCCACACGCATACTTAGCTATCAAGTGTTGCAGGCCTCACGCAAGGTCCACAAATGGTTTAGGGGGCCTCAACACCATTGCACAATCATGCCACACAACCCAGGCAAAGTAACAAGCTGTCTGACGTCAGCCAGTCTTGGCCTGTTGGACCAACAATCTGGATTGAAGCTTGCGCTTTCATGTTTTGGGCATGTCAAAACGTAAGAGAGGCTGTCCGTAGCCTGTTAGCAACGAGAGATGTTTCGGAATATTCATATACACTAAGCAGATTGCACGCGTAGTTCTCTGCATGGAACTTGCCAAAATCACTTCCAAGTGCTCAAAACTGCTGCACGACGCAATGGACTGGATTTTGCCATGTGCTGCCATGATGCCTTTGCTCCTGGCTATCGGACGATAGACCAGGCCCCCCCCCCCCACCCTGCAAATGCTTCTACGGGTTCTTTGGCGAATTCTCCAGTACCTGGTAATATGGGGATTAATTTGATGGGGCTGATATGGGATGACGAGGTCTCCGGGTCTCCGTAGAACCGTGGAAGCACCACAGGCAAACTACTTTTCATTGAGGGCTCAGGCTAACCCTCAGCACAAGAACTTTACTCCTGGCTCTTATTCACTGTGAATAAGTTCACGACTTAAAGCTGCAAAGCAATTCACCAGGTGTATCTCTCTCACGATTGTGGATTCCCTATTGAACGCGGGATGAGTCACAGGAATTAGAAAATGTCGGCACAACTGAGCCAGCTGCATCCTCTGTTTTGTGCCAGGACAGGGACTCGAACTCGTAGTAGACCTTACGAGTAGCAGCTTGTCTACCAGGTACCTTCTTGCTGTCCTACCCACCCCCAATGACAAGCATTCGACCTGGAAACAGATACCTTCTAGGGCATGTGCTTTAAAAGGGCGCCTACATGACGTTCCATATCAGATTGGTAGAGTGTAGAGCATGCTAATGGCAAGAATGTTTCTTAGTGAGTACAACTTCCTCATGGTAGCTGCCAGCTGCAATCAACTTGCTCCGTCTGGGTGATGGACTGGATCATCCTCCCTGACCTTTCCATCCTTCATTGTCACCTGGCATTCAGGGCTTTACCTTGGGTCCAAGTAAGCGACTCGGCCAAGTGAGGCTGCTTCCCTCTTGTCTAGTGTGGACATCCTCTATCCTCAGCATCCTTGCTCACAGAAACACGATAGCCCATTCGTAGCTACCCCAAGATACCTCTGCAACCCCATAAGGCAGTGGGCTTGAAGCCCCAAGCACAGGGATGCAGTCACAAGCGCGGGCCTTTTGGATGATCTGGGCCTGGGCTTGATATTGGGCTTCCCAAAATCGTGGTACACTCAATGAGCCCTAAATCTGCAGCATAAGGCGGCGGCCAGCCATATTCGACTACGAGGATTTATGTCGTCCCCTTGCACCATGATGAGAAAAGCAACTGAAAACTGCGCCGGCTTGGGCAAGCCAAACACTTCCTAGCCTTCCGCAAGGATGGGAATAACCATCAAGTCTAAGTCCATGTTCTCGGTCACTTTCGTGCACGACTCAGTTGCCAGGAATTTGGCCTGCCAGGAAAGGCTTGTTGCACGGAACTGCACATTCTTCAGCAAAGCCCATCCGACCTTCAACTTCTTGACGTTCAGTCCCACAGGCGGCTCCGTCCAACGATTTGTGTAGTGCCGCGCCTCCGCTGGCTGCATGCTAAGTTGATGAACCTCCTTTCATTGGCCCATGAACACCCAAGTGCATGCCAAGGCCTTCCCGGTGATAGACTTGACGTCTCTGGCCTTGGTCTCCTCCCCTTGCTTGCTCGACCAGATCTCAACGCAGAACTTGGCCTGCAGTGCAGCTGAGAGAAGCTGAGCCAATTGCTTCAAGAACTTGACCGCAGCTAAATGCTGCCAGGATGCCAGGTTATCGACAATCTTCTGCAGAACTCGGGAATCACAGTCGTCCATCTCCTCCTGCTCCGCTGCAGACTCGTCGAACTTGAAAACCCGCTTTAGCTGCCGTGCCAGGGCCGGCAAGAGCTCCTCCAGCTCCTTTCCGTGCCAAGGAAAATTCAAATTAGTGATGTTGGCAAAGCCTTCCCCACACTGTAAGTGTTCTGATGGTACGGATAATAACCGTGCTAGTAAATTTGGAATATGTTTCATTGCAAATCGGCCAAGCTCTACAGTAGTAGCTTCAGTCCTTGCTGGGGGTACGGGCTGCCACCAACTGCTTCCGCTGCCATTCCAGAAACTCCTCGAAGGTGATCCCTTTGCTCTTATCTGCATCCACTTCTCCAAAGACTCGCTTGGGCGAATTGTCAAAGACAGAGAGGCTTGCTGAGCCATCGGGTTTGCCTCCCAGCTGCTTCTTGAACTGGTCCTCCAGTGGGGCGGAGGACTCGCTCCTGAGACCCAAGCAGTTCTGTAGGATTGTCTGACACTGCACGAACTCCTCCATGCTGACCAAACCATCACCATTCTGGTCGTAGACGTCGTAGAGAGGTCGGACCGCAGCTTCCAAGCTGAAATACTCGAGGCCTTCGGATCCCATGCGGACTGTAGCGCAGGGTTGCTGAAGCCACTCGATGAACTCGTTGTACTCTATGAGGCCATTGTTATTCTTGTCTGCCTCAGTCAAGGATGACTTGTCGCTGATTCCCGTACTATGTCAACAGCACTACGGATTCATGGCTACTTGGCATCTAGGCCTGGGAGCTCGGAAATGGATTTGCCATCAACATGGTAGTCTCCAAAAATTAAAGTCTGCCCCGACCCTTAGAAGGGACCCCTGATTTCTGGAACCCTCCGCAGGCGTGACCGGCCTCGCTGATGCATCTCTCGATCTCTTCCTCGGTGACGGCCTTGCCGGCCACTTGGGTCAAGAGCTCGCGCAACCGCTTCCGAGTAATGACACCGGTGCCATGCACATCCCACTTCTGGAAGATCTCCTGGTCAGGCGAGCAAACTGGCTCACTAAACTTAACCCTTCACCCAGGGCTTTCGCATGCTTTCGTTGTCCTTGGTCTTGTTTGACGAGCTCTTCCCACTCTGAGGCCGGGCGGAAGCCATGCGGAAAGAATCTAAGAAGAAAGATTCTGGTGCTATTATGCAGCTTGTTCCTTGTCTTTTTGCGCAGGGCATGCTATGTTCTGCATGCTTGTCGGGTAGATGAGACAGGAGTTGGGGAGCTCCTGAAAATCAAATGTAAATGGATCAGCTTTCTGGGGACATGTGCGCATGGAGCCAGCGCAGTCAAGCCCAAGCAGATACTGGCGATACTTCTTTGCAACGCTCCACGCTGCGACTCCCGCCTCAGAATCTTGATCATCCTAGAGGCAATGCTGAGCTTTCTAACCCTCAAAGAAAATGAGACAAGAAGGTCTTGAAACTTGCGTTTCCCTAAATCCGTTTGAGGCCTCCCCGCCCCAGCACCTGCCTTTGTTCGACGAAGCAGGGCTCGACCAGCCCGGCGGAGCCTGGGCACATGGGTGGACAGGGCGATACAGTGCTGTATCAGAAACGTCTGGGCTGGTAGAGCTACTTCGGGCTTGTCGAGGGCCTCGCTGCAAGGGTCATGTTCATGTACTGAATAGTATTGAATTATGTCGGGCGTCCGGTCTAGCTTTTGAAATAAAACAGTTCCTGTTCACAGCAGGCTCGAAGGCCATCAAGGCTGCTTTGGATGAGGGGGCTGCCCATGTGGACCAAATGATCTAAATGCTGGGGTACACTGGCCTTTGGTTAGCTGGGAATGAAGGAGCCAACCAAAGGCCAGAAATGCTGAAGTATATATATGCATTTGATTTCGCACATTTCGTGCAGCGTTGCGTGGTCTGAGCCGCTGCTCAAGTGTTGGGCAGCGAGGTTCTCCTGCCGACACCAACCTATATGAGCTAGGGGTTAAAAAGGGTCTAGGGTTTAAGGATAAGGGTTTAGGGCTTAGGGTTTGAGGTTCAGGGTATAACATATTGAAAGCATCATGGGAAAACAGCAAAAAAGGCAGATAGGCAAGCACTTCAAGTCCCGGCGTATACAGCGACCCTCATTTTGCCACACTGCCACATTGTATGGTCTACAGTCAGTACTTCTTCTGTCGTCAATAGACATGCGTCTTCATCAGGAATCATTTCGTGGTCCTGCTCCGCTCCACTACAGCAGGTGGGTGCTGTAGGCAGTGGTGCTTACGTATGGCAAATTGAAGTTTGCACCTTCGTCAGACTCCTAAGTCATTTCACAAGAGTGGAGCTGGTGGAAATTCTTAGCCTCCGACAACTCCTTGCTGAACGCTTCGAAGCCATCACCATCACAAGCATTGAAAGCTGAAATGAAATCCTGGATGCAGCTGCGAGCGCACTCTGAAGATGAAAAGTTGGACCTGGACACCAGCCTCCATAGATGCCCCCACGTCTGGGTTTCTGGACATTGCACCATGAAGCGCGCGCCTGTCGCACAGTCTGGTAAACGGTCCGCCGAATAAATGAATACTTCTAGAAATCTGGGTTCTCCAAAAGAGCCCTTACTTAGCCTTACTTCTTACAGGTACTCCCAAAACAGAATCCCTATAGTCCCCTTTAAGTAGATAGAATATAGCTTTGGGTGTAATATAATAAGATCCCCAAATACCCCATATTCTATCTACTAAAGGGGGTCTATAATTCTTGGAGATCGGCACGCGAATGTAATACGATCAGGTTCTGAGGCTGCAGCAGCTGTTGCTCCGAAAGGTCGCTTCCCACCAGCGTCGCCTTAACTCGCGTGAGGGTCACTTTGAAAGGGGGGTCATTATAAGGATTGGGCTTTATATAGTTTTATACGGGTTACTATACGGTTTATTATGGGGCTTTGTAGGGGTTTATAGGGGTTATTACCCCTGTTGCGCCAGAAGGATGGAAAAGACCATTAGATCCATTAGACATCGATCTCCACTAGGGCGGTGGGTGCCCGGCCACTCCCAAACCCAAGGCATCTCGGGAAAGACGAGAACTAGATGCCGGCACCCAGCGCCTGGGCAACTTGCGGACAAGGTGTGATTTTCGGGTGATGGCTGGGACTAGGGTGCAGGGTGGAGCGGTTAGGATTTCAGATTGTATCCTACAGATCTACTGAGTATTTAGACTACTAAATCCGAAGCCCCATGAATCGCGCACGCACGCAGCCATTTGTTTGCGAAGCGATTGATCAATTCGGAGCTGAGAAAACTTCCTACGTTACTCCGTGCTGCACTAGCACATGGACCTGGGATGACCTGGGGATCATGGGCCAACTGGAGGGGCAGCTTTGCCATGGCAGCACCTCTGGCGCTGCCCGAGGCCCTTCAGAAACATCATGTACATTGAAACAGTCAAGTGGCAAGCCAGCACCCAAGCCGCACAAAGCGCCATGCTGGCAGAATGCTGAACTCTCAGATGCGCTTTCCATCACGCTCATTCGGGTCCCGATTGCCGGTCTTAGCATTTCAAGTAACTCTGCTTTCCTCTGAGGCTAACGGCCAGTGAATCCGCATTGAGGCCAGGTGCAGCAACGATCGCTGCAAAAACAAAGATGGCAACGACGATGAGGGCCCCAGCACCACCTGAAAGCCAAGGCAAAAAAAGTAATAATGACCATGCTCTGCTATTGAGGGCTTAGGGCTTAGGATTTAGGGCCGGATAGAACTCCACTTCCTCCATGAGCTGATCAAGCACCCTATTCCCAACTTTCTCTGGATGGCCCCACAGTCCCAATTAAATAAAGACCTGGATGATGTCCACACAGGGACAAACTTATGAACCCACAAGAAAGTTGTTTGGCCCCCGCCGCCTATTACCTGCACGGCATCACTGGGACCGTCTGCCGCAGGCTTGGCGGCTTCAGTAATGGGCTTTGCAGCCTTGACGCTGAGCTTGTTGTAGTCCTGAAGTCAGCTACCATGACAACTTGAACTCCATTGTGCATCGTAATGCATCCCTCTTCCAAAGATGAAAATGCGTGGCCACGTCTGGTACTAGTGCCAGAAAACGCGTGAAGAGTGCAAGCTGCCTCAAAGCCCTCTGTGACCGCCCATGCTGCCTGTGCACCCAGCAGTCCCCAGAGGCTACCTGCCGCAACAAAAAAATGAAGCTACAGCTTGGGGTGAGTTTGGGATGAGATTGGAGGGCAGGCAAGCAAAGCATTCCGTCAATGCTGTCTTGCTTAATGTCTGGCAAGCTGGCCTGTAGCAGTACTCGTCACCTTAGTAGCAGCAGGTTTAAAAACTCCATTTCTGCCATCGACACCTTCATAGCCCTCACGCCCTGCCTTCGGGATGAAGGCCAGGTGGCTTGAAAGCCCAAGTGCCAGGAGTATTGCCAGGGCGCCAGCGCGCCTGCACCTGACCCGGATTGTGGCTTCATAAATACAGCTTTCACTGCTGTCTTAAAGACAAATACACGTTTGTTGTGGTTCAGAAGTTCAAAAGAGAGCTGCACGATTTGCTTTGGACCAGACCGTTTGCCAGGTGCCTCCTTCCTTGATATTTCCTCGCTTCTCCAAACGAAGCACGGGAGTTGCCAGGAACGCCTTGGGGCCTCAACCTGTAACACATTCCTTGGCCCTAGGCCTGCCAGTCAACACGAACGAAACAGGCACATTCGACTCAAGTGCACGAGCCTTTGGGCCATGCTTCCGCTGCAGAGCTTCTACTGCTTGAAGCAAGAACGTGCTGCGGAAGACAAGCGCACGTTTGGACAACAGAACAAGTGTGTGCTGCTAGCGCCCGAAAGCACAGGACAAAGAGGAAACAAATCTGCTTAATGCCCAGTAGCTGGAAAACCGTGGTCAAGCGGAGCCCACGCTCATGGAGCGCAGGACGTATCCTGCCAGTGCAGGACCATCCAATTCCATGGACTGACGAATGTTGCATGGCAATGTCCTAAAACACTGAATAACAAAAACGATGTATCTGAACTTTCGAGCCCCCATGCCTGCAAGCTGCCACGTTCCAGTAGGCATCTACCAATAATGGTGGCCTTGTTCTGCTCTCAACCCAGTAAGTCCCTTGCATAACCCAAGAGCAACAGAATGTTGAGGAACCATCGGATCAAGTCCTCCTCAAGGCGCTCCAGAGCGGACCACCGGCCTGAGCAACAATGCACGGAACCCTCAACTCTGGAAAACGTCATATGGCTGCATATCAACTTAGAGGCTGAATTTCTGAGAAAAAAAAGTAAAATGCTTGTTGGACAGGGTTGGACATAACACCCCATCGCCCATCATATTCCCCTGGATACAAGAGCTATAGTCCAAGCTCCTAGTATCCCCTGAATCACCACTATAACACTCCCCTATATACTCCCCTATATAAACTCCATTAAAGGACTTCAGACCCTAATTAAACCCTAAACCGTATATAATCCCCTATAATATGACCCCCTAAAGGAGCTTAGACCCTCAACCCTATATTATATAAGCCCCTAAACTAACCCCCTTAAAGGAATTGGGCCTATAGTACACATGAACAAATCCACACCTCCGAGGCGGTGGGAGGCTGGGTGACGCCCGGCCGAGGCGGAGGAGGCCTGGAAGCCCAAAGTGGCAGTAGTTATGTGGATGTAGTAGTAGTAGTAGTAGTAGTAGCAATATTAATGGCAATAGAAACAGAAAGGTCATTAGTTATAGCAAAAGTAAAAGCAATAGTCATAGACGCAGTGATAGTAACAAGACTACTAGTACAAACAATCATAGTAATAGTAAAATTTATAGCGGTATCAATGGTGCAATAGCATTAATAGTCGTTGGAGGTGTCGTCCTGGGTCCCACGAGTCGCTGTCGGCGCCGAAACAATATAACATGTGAGCCATAGTCTGATATCCTAGTATCCACCTTAATAACCCCTATAATACTCCCCTATATAGTCCCCTATGAAACCCATACAGAAGTTTAGACTACAGCTCATGTAGTAATGCTTTTGGTAGTGGTTCATAGATGTTCATAGTAGTTGTTGTAGTAATTGTCGTTGCAATAGTAGCAGTTGCTGTTGTTGTTGTTGTAGCAGCAGCAGCAGCAGCAGGAGCAGCAGCAGCGGCAGCGTAATAGTAGCAGCGAGCGCCACATTCGCCTTACCAATCATGTTCCTCAAATTCCGCATATTGAAAAAGGGTCATTCTATGTAATATTGGCGGCTTTTGAGGTGTCTGTCATCCATGAAGCGTTGCAAATGTGGTTGAGGGCGGCGAACGGGGTGGGATGTGATCCGGGCAAGGGGGTGGCATAGAGCCTTTGGGTAGGTACCCACCACATCCATAGGGGTCTATCCAAAATCTGAAGACTTCTGAGAAGGGGTTTATGGATCTCAGGGTAAGAAACTATCCATTTTTGTGCTAGACCATGCTCCTCTCTTAATGCTCCTATTGCTATTGGTTTCTGAGCACTGCTGCACCTGATACCGAGACCGGCACTGATACAGAACTGTTCAATCAAAGCTGCTCGCAACTGCTCTTGCTGCTTCACCTCCTACTACCACCACGGCTAGTAACTGCCATGTAGTCCTACTACCGACTCACCAACGTCAAATGAACACGTGAAAATATAGTAAGACATGCCAGACAGGCTCAGGCGGGCGAAGGATCAAGTCCACCTGATGCCACGGCACATTTTTGGCAGTCTTGTTGATCTTATGGATCTTACGCATGATATTGGGGGGTTACAGAAATGGGTCGCTAATCCTGAAACCAAGCGATACATGTTAGGAGGACTTTTGCCCGGTAGCTCCTCAACCCTAAACCCCCGAACCCTACTAGGAACGTAAGGGAGGCTTAGTTAGTAGGTTAATCCAAAAGGGATTATCGCGGTTATCATAAGGCTTCTAGGGGTTATAGGTATACTTACTCAGTCCCACAAGCAAAGCCCCAAGGCTGTGACCAACTTGTCAATCTGCACTTTCCCATCAGCTTCACAAACTTGTTGCCGCAGCACCTGGCAAAGAGACACTCTAAGGCTATGCTCAGAAGAAGGACCTGCACAAAAACACACAACGACCTTGATTCTGCAAATGCAAATGTGGGGTACTCTGACCCCAGGCCCGATATGCGGGATGAGATATCTTGATCCCATGAGTTAAATTTCATGACATGAGGCTTCTGGTCAGAGAGGCGTGCGATTACTCTTTCGTCATGTTGGTCGTGTCGAAGCATTCATGTAGCTCTAGCGCACATCGGAAAACAATTTTTTTGTTCAATGCAAGCACACTATCTTTCATTCCCGGTGGAATGTTCGAGATGCAAGATGCTGCGCTAATGGCCCCCTCCTGTGATAAGTCAACATGGCCAGTTGTATGGACATTATATTGCCTGGGCTCCGGAGTTTTTAGGGGTTCTGTTGAGAAACCTTTAATTGCCAAGACCTCCACAGCTGCATCCGGCAGCGCTGGGCTGTAAGATCGCAGCGCCTGAGAACGGGCTGCACCACGAAGTAAAAGACTACAGCTTCACCTCGCAAATCTACCAAAGAAGGAGCTGCATCCAACATGATAACGCAAACAGTTGCAATCGACTCTAAGAGGGTGTATACTGGTGTATAGAGACACATCCCGCGGGTGTCTGAAAAGTGTCGCGCAGTGCCTTGGTGAAGGCTGAGAGGTCCAGAGTGCCAGAGGCCCTTGGTCACCAACATGGATCCATGTACTTCTTTCACGACTGACTTCAACAGATTCAGGGCGTGTTGGGAGCCAGGCGTATTGTCGAAGGCTGCAAGTTGCTGACGTACTGCCTGGTGCATTGCTGAGCTCCCACGTGGCCTGCGCAGCATCTGTGCAGTCACGCATTCAACGACTTCAATCTGCTTTCTGCACACACCATAGCGACTTGCTTCATACCCTCTGGAGCTCATCAACCCCATGGCATCCCTTGGGCATCCATCAGAAACACCTTCTGCTTCCATACCCAGGGGCTACTCCCCGCTGAGCCGGCCGCACGCCCGAGGCACGCAAGGCAGCCACCTGGAAGGTGTCAATAATAATTAGACTAGTAATAATGGCAATAATAGTCATAATAGTCATAATAGTCATAGTAGTAGTAATAATAATCGGAGTAATCGTAATAATTACTTGAAAAGGGGATGCGCTCAGGGACTGCTGCACAAGAAATAGCCAACAGATTCATAATAGGATGCTATCAGTGAATCTTGAAGATTCTATGGTAACAGTTTTTAGAACTCCATACCTCAACCTAAAAACGCTAAACCCCAAATCCTCTCTAATATATTTATATCCCCATATATAGCCCCTTGAAAAGGCACCCCTAAACCCTAAACCCTAAATCCTGCAATATCCCTAAGTCCCCTCAATAACCCCGTTTAGAAGGTACCCCTAAACCCTAATAACAAAGCGGAGCACTCTAAGCAAAAGCGTGGCGGACTGCACACACTGTTTTTCTCTGCTATTGCAACAATCGGTAGATCAAGGCTACAAGGGGCCCCTGAACCATATGGCCACGGTGGTCGAGGAACACTGCTGAGGTCAAGCTGCGCAAGGCGCATGCTGATTTACAGCACCCTCAAATTTCTACTGACCTCAGCGGCAGAGCATGTCTAGCGGCGCTTCACGCGCCCTGCTGCTCTCAAAAAAGCTCTCTCCTCCAACAGTTCTGCTTCCGCCACGATCCGGTAGTAGCTGGAATCCGGCAACTTGTACAACATGGTGGGATTCCCATGGACCTTTGTGAGGGCGTCCACCACCATCGATTGATGCCCCACCCATCGAACCGCCTTTTCTCTCACGATGGCCACCTCCAGCGCTGTGCACTTGTCTTGTGCGATGGCCCCTTCCGTTGTCACGTTATCGTAGACACTCTTCGCGTCTATGATGCTAAGAGACTGCTTACTGCTTCAGAGTCTGATCTCCATTGCCTTTCTTGAGAACGAGGTCGGCCTGCTGCTTGACCTTGTTGTAGTACTCCTGAAGCTCGAAGTTGGGGTCCATCAAGTGCTGAACGATCGCCTTTGTCCACATCAGCTCTCCAAGGCCGCGGTTCAGGGACTGTGTCTCCGCCGCGAGTGTCGAAGGAACCTTCCTTCGGAGCTTGCCGCTCTTCCACCACAGCAGCGAGCATTTTGCCGTCTTGCCCTCAAGGAGGTCATGATGATAGGCTATCGCTCCGACTGACCCCTGAGAACCGCCGTCACTGTAGTTGTCCCACGAGGCGTCCGTAGCCACGCCAAACCTGAGGTCGTCGTAGGGGCTGGAGTGGTAGAGCAAAGTGAGATCAGGCTTGGCTTTAACCTGGGCTATGACTTTGTTCAAGGAGACGATGTCCCGAATCTTCCTTTATCTTGGTCATCTTCGAGGCAAGAATGCTAGCTCCAGCCGAGGCGTCAGGCCGCCCTTCTTTGGCGCACCACGCCAACGAGCCAATTGCCGCTCTGACCCTCTTGACTTCCTCCGGAAGGGCCTCCGCGTCCAAGTTGGACTTCCTGCCTCTTTCCAAGTGGACTTCAGACAGGCGCTCCTCGACGAACTTGGACATGTCGGCCCTGATGTTGTACTCAGAGTCCTGCTGAATTCGCCTGCCGTTGAAGGAGGCGCCGTCCGGCAGTTCTTGGAGTCTCTTAAACTTGCCGAACTTAAACCTTTCGCGGAGCTTGTTGAGGCGCTGGTCGTGCAGCTGGTAGCTGAAGCACAGGGGGTCGTCGATCTCTTTGACGTTGATGCCTTTCAAGCGGTCGTCAACGTGGAGGTAGTAGATCGTAGGGTCCAGCCTGCATTGCAATCATGCTAAGTCAATTCCCAATCGAATGTGTGGATTTCCTCGCTTCCCAGGCAGACGCTGCGGTAACCAGCATCGGCACCGGTGGAGATGGAAGTAAAAGGCGCGTTGACTATGGACTACAGCAAACGGACTGGATGGATGCTAGGTTTAATATTTCCTTGCCAAAAGGAATGCGGGCCCAGGCCTACATGGTCCAGAAGGTTTCTCCGGGACTGGTAGTATGGGAAGTCAGCTTGAACTTCTCGCCAACCATGCCTGCCATTCGGAGCGAGGCCGCGATGTTTGGGGTGGACACGGTCGGGGAGTAGGAGTCGAGGCGCATGGCGTTCGTCAGGGTCAAGGTCCCCACGCACACACACCAGCGTGAGCGCTTGGTCGGCGCTTCGCCTGGCTGCTCACCCGGCTTAAGCCGGCGCACTGTGCGGCGCACTATCCGGCTTTTGAGAATCCGGTTTTCCTTTCCGGCCGCCGCAAGCCTTGCTCTGACTGCCTTTGACTCCGACGGTGACAAGACCCGCAGCGCAGGACTGCCCGCGATTTTGGCCCATTCCTCGCCGTCAGCTTGTCGCACTCTTCCCATTTGTGGGGAAGAATGTCTCTAGCTGAGATCGACTTCGTCCGAGCCCAGCTTCTTCCCGAGGAAAGTCTCCTGGCTGACTGCGAGACTTTCGGGGTCTCCACTTGACATGACGCCGTCGAAGAACTCCCTTGCAGCCGATGACCTCCCAATGATCACGATGTCGCGCGGTCTCGCGATCCCGTAGTTCCGGGGAACGCACCGCTCCTCCTGCTCGCCGACGAAGAGCTCGTACTCGGTAAGATATTGGTTGACCCCATTATCTTCCAGAGGTGCTCTGTGATAAGGATTGACCGAGTTGTCCTCAACGCGGGGCCTCTGCGGCCCAAAGGCCGAGCTTGTCCTTTTCCCGGGATGCCAAACTCCGTCAAGATTCGCATTTGCATTGGCTGCTGGCACTCGGGTCGAAGTCGTGCTTCTCGAACTTCGCCCTCGGTCTGCTAAGTGCCTGGTGGCATGACTGGACCTGCTTCGCAAGGCAGTCTTCGCCGCCTCGGACGTGTTAATCTCGATGAACTCTTTCTGAGCCGCCCTCGCCATGTGATGACGCGGTAGAAGGAGCCGCCGACGAACTTGTCGAAGAGCTCGGTTGGCGGGAAGCAGTGTTGGCCGGGCATTCTTTCGCCCAATGTCCGATCCTGCCACAGGACCGGCATCTTGTACGGAGTTTCAACCCCTGTATGGTGACGCCCTTGTTCTTGCCCTGCTTTCCTCCTCCTTTGCCCTTTCCGTGGGGAACCGGTCCAAAAGAGCTGCCTTTGCCTTGACCCTTCTTTCCCTTCGAGCCTGGGCTTGCCGGAGGATAGAATCCACGGCCGTTGCGGTTTTGCCGACTGCGAACATCCTGATAGCTCGCCAGGATATCGATGAGGTCGTCTTCCTCTATGACTTAGCCGTCTTCCGCCGAGGCGCCCTCAAGCTCTGGCTCGAAAGTGGGAAAGTAGTCTTCGCCCTCTTCCTCCTCCGGCCATTCGGACTCGTCGTCGTAGCCAAGCTCTTCGAAGAAGGTTCCGCGCTTGCTCTCCACGGCGACCCTGTCGAGCTTCCTGAGGTTCAGGAGGACCGCGTCGAGGGAGACGCTCGCCAAGGCGTCCTCGTCGCTTCCAGCTTCGGACTCTTCTCCGCCGAAGTGCTTTCGAATGAAGTCCTCAAGGGGTGCTCCGAAGTATCGAGCCAGTGAGGTCGCTGTACCCCTCTTCGGACTCCCAAACACGCTTGGCCGCGTGAACTCGCCGCGCCACAGAGGCCTGTGAGTGGCGGTCTTCCGGGTCTGGCTGACCCTCCTTGGGCTGTTTGCGCAGTGCCTGCTCACCAGCCGAAAAAGCGCCCAAGCGAAGCAACCTGGCGGCCCAATCGGACGCCGTGCCGCAAAGCCAAGGCTCCGGTGCCAACTGACAAAGCGGAGCACTCTAAGCAAAGCGTAACGGACTGCACACACTGTTTTCTCTGCTATTGCAACGATCGGTAGATCAAGGCTACAAGGGGCCCCTGAACCATATGGCCACGGTGGTCGAGGAACACTGCTGAGGTCAAGCTGTGCAAGGTGCATGCTGATTTACAGTGAATACCCCATATAACCTTCCAGTAGCAGGTGCCTCCGATATGGCGGCCCACAGTGCAGCGGACAGGTCCGAGGATGCTTCAGGGACCTGCCAGAGGGCAGGGAGGGCAGAGAGGAGATAAGCAACGACTTGTAGAAACGACAATAAGGGACTACGATGTCCGCATGAGCTAGATTCTAAACTCCTAGGTTTCGACTATATAGCTCATATGTTTTCCTCGCATTCCTTTCGAACCACCAGTCAGGAAAGCCACGGTAAGGAAAGCACAGAGAGGTTCAGGTATGGGGATATTCTGAAAGGAAACTCCTCTAAACCCTAATCCCGAAACTCTAAACTCTAAACTCTAAGCTCCCAAAAATCCTTAGGAGCTTCCCTTGAATCAGAGGCAAGGTTCGCAAGTGCAGAACTTCCGTGTCTTCTGCTCTGCCCGAACACCTGCCTGGCTGCAAGACTAGCGCAAAAAGCCTTCAGGTAGCACAACAATTATAATAACAATAACAGTAATAACAATAACAATGATAATAACAACAACAATAATAATCCGCCGACCCCGGTCTGACGGGGCGAGCGAACAGTGAAGCCTTTCTTGCTCCACATTCCTCTACGTCTCTTTCTCGCTTCTCAGGCCTCACTCGGCCTCATTCAGGCCCCTCCCACAACCTTCCCCGAACTCTACTATCCCTGCTTCTCCCCCCAGCCCTAGCCCTTCATTGGCCCCCTTCCAGCCTCGGGTGAGCAGTTGGGTGTCTTTTGAGAGGCTGCGCCTCTCCCACACACACCCCAAGCCTTCCTAGCGTCCCTTCCAAGGCTCCCCCCATCCGTGTCCCAAATTTTCAGAAAGTGTTTTTATTGTTCAGACCTGCGCGGGCGTTGCGCCCCGGTTTTTTTTGACAGGTTGCCGCTAGGCCTCCCCACCCCCCCGCCTCTGCGCAGAGAAATTTAGAAGCATGATTCTGCGCTCCCTCCCAGGGCGTTTGCCCTGAACCTCCCTCCCTCCGAATTGAGATGTCAGGCCCCTCCCACGCCTACCCGACCTACTATCCCCAGCCCTTTATTTGCCTCCACCGACCGTCCCCGACCACTCGGGGTTCCGTTTATTTTCCACAAGCCCCTCCCAGCCTCCCCAATGTCCCCCTTCAGGCACCCCTAGCCTCCCCTCTCAGCGCTCCAAGCCCGCCATGCATGTGTCCGGTTTTGCGTTCTTTGAGAGTGCCCCTCAAGCTTCCTCAGCCTCCCTGATGTCCCTAAATCCTTCCAATTTGTTGTCTTACCGAATTGGCAGACCCCCCTATCCATGGCCCCCGCAATTCGCACAGACTGTGCGGGCATTTTGCTTCTAGGCCCCGCTCCCTCCCTCCTCCAGGCGCGAGTCTAACCACATTAATTTATTTTGGTTATAGTATCTTTCCAAGAGAGCTCATACTAGGGCTCAGGGTTCAGGGCTGACATACTGTTGATGGACAAACCACGAGAGTCTATAGTAAGGCAACCTTTATGTGTTCACATTTTGCATGTTTTCCAGCTACTGAGTGAGGGCACTATCCAAATTAGGGTACTGTGATTTCTCAAGATTCTTTTAACCTACTTAATCTACAATATAAGTGCCTCGCTACATGTCAGCAATTGCGCCCAAAATAGGTAATTATTATCCGCACCTGGTACAGTAGTACAGGTGGCGGGGCCATTATACACTGATAATCGATACATTAGTTGGGGACTCACCTCCCCCACCTCGCAATGATATGAAAACAAAGCTGGCCGACAGCGGCTGAACGTGAAGACCGAAGACCTGCAGAAGTCGTCGCGTCAGCCCTCGCCTCCCATGTGCAATGGAAGCTCAGGCTTTGTCATCGTTTAGCCCTCGCCCGGAGGCTCAGGCTTTGTCGTCGTCTGGCCCTCGCCCGAAGGCTCAGGCCTTGTCGTCAGGCGTCATAGACGTAAGCCCTCGCCTCCTGGGGATCAGCATTCGTTGCCGGCCCCGTGTTTCTCCAGACCTCCCTACCAAATTCCGCTAGCATCCCCCTCCAGGCACCCCGCAAAACGTGTTAAGAGGTTGCTCCTTCGCCTCCCTAGCGTCCCCGCTCACATGTACCAGGACACCTACACCGCGCACATACACTAAAGCAACTACACAGCGCCAGTACTTCACTGCGCCTACAACGCGCCACGTGCACCACAGCACCTACACCGCGCCACGTACACCACAGCACCTACAGCGCCCACATACTCCACAGCACCTACACCGCACCACGTACACCAGGGAACCTACACCGCCTCTAATTTCTTCGTAGCGCTAAACCACGACCGCAGCACCTAGAACACGGCCTGATACGCGTCCCTTGCTAACATCGAACTGATTGCTTTCGGGATAATCAGGGTCTAGTTGTTTACTGATCCAGGGCTGTGCGGGCATTGTCAGCGCGAGAGGTTGCCCTACCAGCCACTCCCCTGACTCCCTACTGCCAGGGTGGGGGCAGCGGCGCCAGAACTTAAATAGTAGTAATAGTAGTACTACTGGTTTAGGGTTAGGGTTCAGGGTAAGAATAACGTCAATAATAGTAATTGCTTTGATTACAGAAAGTCTCGGCTGGGACTGCACCCATCATTCAAGGACTTGCTTTAGAAACTGATGTCTATGCTGAACCCTGATAAAAGCTGTGTTTGAAGCCTGCATGGTGGGCGCCAGGGCCTTGACAAACCTGGGCAGCCATGAAAATCGAGTGTAGCAAATGGCTTCCCACTACACGCCCCCACATACCCCCAGCAGATTCCTTTCAGACACTCTTCAAGACTTAAAGGACTGCCTCGAAAAGAGGTTGTTGGTCAAGGTACTGCCCCAACTCAAGACTCTTCAAGGCGCCCACTCTTCGCGGGTGACGGTCCCATCTTGGTCCTGGGAGGAGGACACAGCCGAGTTCTTCATTAATGCTTAGACTGCTGCCTTGTCAAAGGTGTACCACAATCCGTGGAGGTCAGCCTCTGATAGAGATGGCCTGAGCAATCCAACGGCATGCCAGATGATCTCTTGCTCTGACATAAGTCCTTCGCGCCCCCACCATTAAGGTGTTGTGCCTACTGTAATATTGGATCTGCCTCATCTACCTATTTCTAGTGGCTGTGGAAAATTCCTACACTCGAGACGGAATGGAGGTTTGCTTCCTTTCACCTGAGCTTCGCTCTCCAGGGTATGGAAGAAAGAGCAGAAAGAGTCCCAGGCCATCACCTCCGCAGGCAAACTACAAGGTTGGAGACTTGCAGTTAGTAGCTCGAGACTGTAGAACATCATGCGAAATTGTTTGTTGAAATTGTGTTCCCTTTTGGGGTTCCCAGTTTAGTAATACTGCCCCCACATTTAGGGTACCAAAAAAAGAACCGTAATGGACCATAAGTTCGACAAGCCCTTCCTGTGTATTTTTGAAGGACATGCTTCCTGTCATTTTGCCTGGTCGTCCGACAAGCTGTCAAAGAGCTGGTCTAGAGACGTCCCTTCTCTTTGCAGAAGCTGCCTGTCGCCAACTGATGAGCAACGTGTGTTCCGTTCGTCATTTCTTGTAGCCCGAGGTTCTGACCCTACTCGTGAGCAGACCTCTGCAACTTTGCTCACGACGAGCTTTGCAGACGGCTCCATCGCCTTGACAAACCTCTGCAACCGGATCGGGGAGGTGGCGGCTCTTGGGGGTCCCATGGCATCTGCAAGGCCAGGCGATCGAGGTTGCAGGCAGAAAAAGGCCCTGACTCTTGCTTCGTGACGCCACCATCGCCATCCTAAAGTGCAGCCGTCCTCTTTCAGCCTGCATGGAGGCAGAGTGCTGCAGCCTTGTCGAAGGCCCTCCAAAGGACTTGCATATCTTGCAAGGTCAGCGATGGCCTAGGATTCTGTCACATTATCGGCAAGTCAAGCTGTTGACGCAAGCTAGACTATGCTTGGGAGACACTGAGCTTGCATCTCCAGCTGTTGAAACAGTGAGCGGAAGTCGTCGAACACCACCACAGCCTCTTCGTTCAAGCAAAACGGATTCGTGGATGGCCAGTTGCAGGGTATGTATGGTACACACCCTACCTTCCCGCCCGCCAGGGCATCAAAGAGCTGGATCACGCTCTTGCCATTCTGGAAAAGCATGGACCTTAGTCAGGCCCTCTCTCCGATACCACCTTGTCAGACTCCAAGCTTCAGTCCAGAGGAGAATATATATACATATATATATATAATATGGCAAGATGAGGGGCCCTGCGCAAATTAATTGTTTCATGGCAGAAAAGGATTATTTGGGAACTAGGGATAGCAAAGTTGAACCACCATTGTCCTATCCCGGTATAGGGGATCATAGGAGGATCTGGGCTCCCTGCGCCACCCGGCGGCACACCTGGTAGCTTCCCTAAAAACATGACCCCAAGATACCCTTATACTATCATCCTTATGATGGGGACCCCAAAAACCCCCCAATTTTGGGAAACCTCGAACTTCCCAAAACCTTATAAATCCCGAAAGAACCCAATATAACCCCTATAATCCCGTTTGAGGTACCCCCAATTTGGGAAACCCGACCTCTTCACTTTGCGCTTGCGCAGCTTCTGTGGCTGGCTTGAGGGCGCCGATAAACCTGAACTGGGTTGCCGTTGTGGAACCTGAACTCAGTTACCGTGCTAGAGATACTGTAGATACCACAGACATATGGTATGATATTTGATAAGGGTTTTCTGATCATGATACCTTAGTTAGCTTAAGTTCCTTGAAGCAATCCAGTGAACCAGCTTCATCAGTTGCTGAGTTGAACGGATGCAGGAACAGCGATCGGGTGATCCTTCTGCGCCAGCTCTAAAGGCAGGAAATGCGAAACAGGACCCCAAGGGCACTGGTACTTTACAATTTCCGTGAGGACGCGAATGCTACAAGAAATATCAAGAAAAGAAAATCACAGAAGACGACTTCATTGTTTCCCTTGGCTGGGGAAGCAGCTCTTCCCTTGAAACGCTTCCGTCGCCGTCCTTGCCAAGGGTACTCGAAACAGGAGGCACTCGAAATTGTGCGCTAGAACTGCTTTTGAGGCAGGCATAGCGATCATGATGACAAACATGCGCACGTGACCAACGCAAAACAAGAATAGGACCGATGAAGCTCAGCAATAAAACAACAACGAAAGACCCCAAGGTCCTTGTCAAAGCTTCGCCAAAGGCCATGCAAGTCATCTTCCGTAAGAGAAGGCCTTTCACCGCCAGCTGACTGGGAAGATCATGCTGGATCAAACCTATCACATGACTGAGCGTGAAGCTCCCACTGCTGGAACATCGAGCAGAAGGCGGTCCACGCCACTGTGCCCTGCATCGCTAGAGGAGGCACAGAGGGCGACTGCCACTTCAAGGGTCGCCTGGTCGCTTGCCAAGGCTGCGAACAGTTGATCGACGCTTTTGCTTTCCCGTTGCAGGGCCAGCCTGGAACACTGCCAGGTTTCAGGACCCTTACCGATGCCAGTCATGAAATCGGCTTAGAGCGGTGCGCAAGTCTAGCTATGACGTCAGACATCTTGGCCATGACAAGCCGTGTTGAAGGCTCCAGAGCCTGGAAAAACCTCAGCATTGCGTCATGGAAGATGCGGATAGATATAGGCTGCCGTATTAACTACTTCAAGTGATGTACTGAAACTGATAAATAAGCCCTTGGTTTGGCAATCATTGGCGGGGGAAATGCTTCCAAACGTGCTTATCACAACTTTTGCCACCTTTAAAGCACGTGGCTCTACGCATGTCATCAACTGCCTTCAGCCTTCAGCATGGCTAGGTCCGGGACTCCTGTTTGGTGATGCTGCCATCGCCATCCTGCCCGCAGTTCAACCACAATGCTGTGCCTTCGCTAGAACACCTAGAGAGGCTGAGCGAGGTTCAATTCTGCAATGCTGCACCTACGTGTAAACCATTGAGGCATCAACAGCCTTCTTGGTGAGCTTCGCAGTCTAGTTAAGCTGCGAACCACCCCTCCAGACTAACTACGTGACTGACAACTTCTCCACTCTGATGCTCCACTGATTGCAAGGGCCACTAGTCACTAGGTAGGTGGCGGAGCGACTGAGAACAGAACCTTGTCGAAGTTTTTCCACAACACCTCCAGATCCTGCTCCGCGAGAGATGGCCTCAACCAGGGAGGGGCGCAGCTACTACAGCAACCATCAGTCTAGTAGAGCAGTTGCTATCCAAACCTTGTCGTTCAAAGGGCATAATCAGCTTTGCAGCAATACCAACTGCCAGTCCTACTATCCCAGTCACAGTATCAGCTGAGCTGGATGCTCCAGCTGCTTGAAGCGAGCACTGAAATCAGCCCAGACCACGACATCCTGCCCCAATATGCCACAAGATCTAAGGCTCTACCATGTCCAGTCCATTGGCTGCGAAGTCTGAACTGAAACCGAGTACTGGATGCACTTCAAATGCGCAAAGTGGCACTTGACATACCAAATGTTCTAAACGTTCTGAGTCTGCTTCTGCACGTGATAGCTGGCATCTGTCAGCATGATGCACGTCGGCTGCATAGATGGATTTCAAATTTCGACAGCCACCAATCAAGATTCTGATGCCCACTGCTCCTTGGAGCCGGCAAGTGCTTGGAAGAGCTGCTGGACGGTAACGCCTTGTCGGTACAGAGCAGACCTTCAGCTGAGGACGGAGTTTGAAGACTGCAAGTGCTTGTGGTGATACAGGTGATACAGCGAACAATCGAGACTGATGGCCAGGAGCTTCCGGTACGGCAAGAAGTTGATGCGTGCTTAGCTACCTCAATGGATTCCTTAGCTATCCAGATCAGAGGATTAAGGCCCCGGCGCGATACGAACACAAACCTCTGGCGCCTGTCAGCGGCAGTGGTTTCTGCAGGTAGCTCTGTCTGGCGTAGATTCGGCGAGCGAGACCGGGCATCGCAACAAGGACTACAGAAAAACAGGGACCATTCTTCAGCCCAATTCCTGCAGCGGAGTTTCCAATGGGGGGAGCCCATGGCTTCAGTAAGGTCCCCTCCTTGGAACTCCCCTCCTGCAGTTGCCTTTCAGACTCCCCTCACAAGATTGCTTTGCTCAATGACTTGAACGGCAAACCCAACCCTTCCTTCTGCTCCTCGTGCTGGAGAGTCCTCATGGCATGCAGAGTATAGTTCTAGTCAGCTCCTAGCAGTTGCCCTAAACCCTAAACAATAAACCGTGTGGGAATGCTATGCCCGACTCAGTTGTGGGCCCGGGCTGCAGGCCCAATTGGAACTCCTCTCGTGTAACGCTGCCGTCCCCATCCTGCACGTCACACGCTGCGGTAAAGCGCTCGGACCCGCTGAGCTATATATTCCACACTCCTATCCTCCTTAATAACCCCTATAATACTCCCCTATATGATCGCCTATAGAACCCCTTTAAGGAGTTCAGACCACAAAATAAACCCTCTATAACCCCCTTTAAGGAGTTTAGACTATAGCTCAAACCATCTCGCATCCAGATTCCTTGTCAAAAGTACGCCATAGCAACTCGAGCTGCTGCTGCGTAAGCTCTGGCCTCGCTTGATGCCACGACAAGAATAATGGTAGAAATACTAAATAAGTAATAAGAGTAGTACTAGTAATAACAATGTTAATAAAAAGAAATTGATAACAGTAGTAGTAATAATAATAACAACAGGTTTTCGGTAGCTCTTTGAGCGGTGCGGCTACATGCAGCACACAGGAGCGGACTCAAGTGCTTGGAAGAACTCAGTGAAGTCCTTGGATTGCACTGTACTCCTGGCCCAGCATCACACCGTGCTGTAGGAGGATTGAAAACCTCTTCCAGTGCTTCTTGATTTAGATGCCACTTGATAATTCTCGGGACTCCTTGACCCGGAGAGCGCGTCAAACAACTCCGTCACAGACCTGGCAGGGAGACATCCAAAAAGAAGCCGCTCATCAAGGGAGCTTTGTCGGCAACAACTGGCAAGATCACTACATGGCGGGCTTGCTTTCCCTCCCGTGCGAGAGCTGCCATCACTCGTGAGCAAACATCCTCGTGCACGCAGATGGGCATAGTTTGAGATTCTAAGTTGTTGCAAAACTGGTGTAGAGCTAGCGTGGCTCCTGAGCAACGTCTTCTGCTGATCTGCTGACGGCTCCAAGAGCACGCTTGAATTCTTCTCGAGATACCCCGCCATCCTTGCAGATGCAATTAGCAGGAAACCCCATCCAGCCACAATCAACTGATGAGGACATCAAAGAAAAGCCGAAAGATAGCCGTGTTTTGCCACGCTTCCCCATTCTTGTCGAAATGGCGCCACAGCTCCTGGAGCTGACTTTCCTTGACAGCTTGCAATCGTTATCTTCTTTTTCTTCGATCTCACTGCGCTTTCTTCCAACACCCTGCAATCTAGGCCGAGGCACTCCCAAATCCGGCAATAGCTGCGCAAAGAGTGCGTGGAAGTCAGTCCATGTCACGTCTTGGCGTCCACTCGCCTAGCAAAGAGGAGGGATCTCCAAGCTGCAGATACTTCATTGACAGTGGAAGCGCAGGTCAGGGCGACATCTGCATGGCTGAGCTCGCGACCAACGCATCAAAGAGCTCATCCTTGCAAGCATGGCTTCCACAAACAACACAAGGTGAGTTTGCAGGACGTCGGAGCCGTCCTGCGTCTTGCCTTCTCGCCGAAGCATGGCTGTGACCATCGAGCAAACTTCCTCACAGAGAGATATCTAAGTGCAAACCAGTTGTTCTGCAACCCCAGGCACGCCCCAGCCCTGCCCTCGCGTTTCATTGCATGACATCACGTCCTGGCTGGAAACTATGCTTCGCAAAGTGTCCCAACAGATTATCGGAACTTTGCTCTGCTCCTTTGCGAAGGTTTGCGGGCTGCATCCAAAGGACAGCCTACTGGGGTTGCGGTGCTGTGTAGAGCATTGACATCTTGCCACCTCTGGAGTTTGGCAGAGTTGAGCCCTCGATCACAGCGCCATAGAGAGCGTTGGAAATCACCTTCCAGTTGTTCTCGGACACCTTTCCATCCAAGGATTGGCCAGCTTCCACTACCAAGGATTTGATGATATCTGGGCTCATCCACTGGGCATCGCTCAGCTCATGCGGGTCTATGGAGATGGTCTCCTGAAGAGCCTGCAACTTAACGACCACGTAAAGATCGTCTTGCCCGAAGCGATATCCATGGCTGTGGCGCAGGCTTACAAGTCCAAGCAGGGAGCCTGTTACTCCTGTCTCTTCCTGGACTTCCCGCACCACCGTCTCAGCAAAATCCTCACCTGGGTCGGCCAGACCACCTGGAAGCTTCCAGCTTCCTTGAAACTGCGGCATCGGGGAGATCCTTTCTTGCACCATTAGGACCTCACCTTTGCTGTTGAGGACGACACCCCCGACGCCCACCTGCGTGAAGCCATACTTTGGCAAGGTGCACGGCTCCTCGCCCAGCCAGCGTGTCAACAGCACATACTCTGCCTTGGCATGGTGAAACTCAAAGCCTTGCGCGACAGCGGGTCCTATGCAAGCTGCTGCGGCAAGCGGCACCTTTAACCAAATCCCCTTCTTGCCAGCTGCAACCCAGTTCTGCAGGTTTTGTCGCAGCTCAGAAGTGAAAAGGCCAAGAGGAGAGCCACTATGGAAGCCCGACACCTCCGCTTCAACGCCCCCATATCGGTCTTCTTTTGCAACTAAAACTTGCTTTGGAGGCTCAGCCACAGAATCCTTGCTCTCCAGAATGCACTCTGCAAGCAGATCCAATGCAAGCTTTGTGAAGCCCCACATGTTCTCTTCCCGCTCGTTCGTCTCAGACTCTACAAACAAGCCTTTCTCCACAGGGCCTGACACGAAGATGGCTGTAAAGCCTTTGGTCACGTCGGGATAGGTAAAAGTTGGGCCACAAGCTCCGCTCTCACAGATGCACCAAGTTGACCCAACTTCTTGACGCTTGTATCTGGCCAACTGCTGGGTCCACTGCCTCTTGGAAGCCTTGTATGAGGGTCCGTCAATCGGCCTTGGGAAAGACATTTCCATGCCTCCCAGAACTGCTTGTGCCTTATCCTTGCCATAGGTTACAGCGCCACAAGTGGTGTAGGACGATGCTCCTGGCACGGACTGAAGAGCAGCTTGGATGAGACCAGCTGTCGTGCTCTCGAAGATCGTCACATTCTGCTTCGCAGCCTTCAGAGCAGCAGCTGCTTCTCCTCCTATCTCTGTCAAAGAACTTAATCGTCTGGAATTCAGAGCCACGGACCGAAAAAGTGGGTCCATGGCTGCGAAGCCCACTGGATCAGTGAGGAAAACTGCTAAGATGAAAATTGCAGGCGTGGGATGGCGAGCGCGCACTCGCATTAAAAGCTACCCTAGCTGAGAGCCAGCAGCATTTGATGCAGAGTCATCTGAAATCTGAAACTGGATCATCCCGCAAAAGGGATCAACAGAATCACACAGATTGTCTGTGTAGTCGTGCCTGTGGCACGTCCACCTTGGACACACCGCTTGCCGACGCCTGCGCATAATCTTGGCAGAATTGTGCAGAATTCCAACCCTCTCCCACAGAAGCTTCGCTTGCAGGATCTTGCAGGTGTAAGCCGGCCGGCCTGAACGTTCGCCAGTTGTTTCTTGAACTCCTCACTTCAGACGCATGTAAGTGGCTTGACCTTGATCACCGATGCTTCAGCACGCTTGAGGGCATAGGCCTCGCGAGAAATCCCACCGTCGGCATTGGCATCGAAAGTAGCCCAAAGCCTTGCAAGCCAAGGCAAGTCCCTCGGGAACTCAGCACTTGGACCGTGCCAGGTTTAATAGAAAACCAGCAACCCAGCAACTTCAGCATTAAGCAGCAGCTACAGAATCGATTCAATAGAACCAGTCCAACTCAAAACTCGTTTGAGCACCTCTTCCTGTCACATTGACAGAGCAGCACGCCCAGCATGCAACCACAACATGTGGGCATCAAATCCAGAGTCTCGTTTACAATCCCAATGGGCGAGAAGCACCACACTGCGAGGCTGTGCCCTTGGCCCTAAGGTTCGGGCTGCTGCAGCTGATCCTGACTGAGCGAAGGCCTCGTCTACTCGTTCAACAAGAAATTCATGATATTAACATGGAGCTGTTTAAGGTACTTGGCTTGGAGTTTCGGGTGTTGGGTCAGTGGGAATGCATTTGAAGTTCCCTTCGAATTGCAACGTGTCACTGAAAAGCGCAGCATTTCGGGTAAGCTTCCTCCACACCGCATACAGCAGGTGGTGACAACCCTTGGATATCCAGTTTGGATCTGCCCGAAAATCTGCGGCATCTGTCAACATCAGGTACACCCATGCAGCTCCAGGCTCAAAATGACATCTCGTCCGCTTCCGAGGACGAGACTCCAGCTGAGCAAATAGATCGCGGAAGTCGGGCCAGCGGACTTCCTGTTTGCCGGCTGCCTTGAGGTCAGCTTACCATGGGGGCATGAAGAGGTATCTGGTCTTCAGGACGTGTAGTCCGACTACGTCCGACTGTAAGTATGAGGGCTAGAGAGAAATACCATCAGCAAGTAACAACAATGTGTTCAATAACCAAACCCCCAAGCCTCTTTGTCAGCTCGGGCTTGTAAGTGGCGTAAAATTAGGGCTCTTGTTGAGATCTGCCCGTGAGGAGTCTTATATGGCTATGTGGATGTTTCCAAGAATCCTTCAATTTGACATCATCACGTATCACTCACTGTCATTGGCCCCGGCCAGAGCATCGAAAAGGACATCCGGTGTCTGACCCTGCAAATAGCGATGATGAGATCACTGTCAAATCCTGGAAGGAACAAATGCAAGGCTTCTGCGAGATTTTCACTTCTTAGCCCCAGCACCGACCAGCTGCATTGAGCGCTTGGACAAAGGCGAGCTGGCACTAAAGAAGACCTTACGCACTCCAAAGATTGCTCTAATGGCCATCATGATGTTCAGGCTCCACCAGACTTGGACAGCACTGATCTGTGCCCGGTGGGCCAAAAGCAGCATGGCTGCCACGGCAGCAGCACCAGCATAGGACGTGCATTTTGCAGTCCAAACATACTCACCAAGGCCATACAGGACGCCATCAGAAACCCACATTACGCCATAGATGAGTAGCATTGTCATTGCTGGCGGCACCAACGTTGCAAAAGCAGCAGTCACGGTCTCGTCCCTGACCAGGATGCTCGCAATGAAATCGTGGCCCTTCCACAAACTCAGAGCCGCAAAGCTTGCGACCACCATTCCCAGGCGGATTGCATGGATTGCAGTCCGGCGTGCGCGCCGCGGATCACCGCGTACCACGTCAGCGCTGACAAGAACTTGCGCTGCCAGCTGGAACCCATATAGCAGGTACAGCAGCATGAGAAAAGTTTTTGTCATGCAGGTATGTGCAGCCAGAGGTGCCACCCCAATCTTTGTGATGATGGCACATGCAACAAGCCACGTAGTAAGTGACGAAAAAGTTCGCACAGACATAGCAGCATTTGCCTTGAGCAAAGCCATCCAATTCTTCTGACTGCGCGTGCTCTGTTTGGGGCCCGGCTTTCCAAGGAAAGCAGCTGCAAAAACCTGCCCCGGAGGAGGCAGCCAGGGCTCCCCATCGGAAGGCCGGCGTGCGACCAGCATCCAAGCCGCGACAGCTGACGCGTAGCATGCCGCGGTCGTTGCCCATGCTGCCCTCAGCAAGCACAAACTTCACCATCCTTCCATCTGGAGTTGGGTAGGGTTAGGAACCGGCCGAGACGCCCAGCTGTGCCAGCATGGAGGCCAGCAACGCACAGAGGCGTCAGCACGGCATTGAGGCCAGCCTCCGCGACTCGGGTAAGCACATCTGCTACGTGAGAGAAACTGCCAAGCAGGTTTGCTCGCTTGCTGAGCCAAGGCACTCCCAGCAAGACCAAACGCAACACTGCTGAGGTGTCTCGGAAGGCACCAGACAACGCCGCCTGCAGCATCGCTAAATGACTCCGCAGAACCCCAGAAAGATCATACCTCAGCATCGCCTGGAGGACTATTAGAGTCAGGAGGCCCGGGGCACCAAAAAGACGTGGGACCTTAGAACAGAAGCATCAAATCTCAAACCTCAACATCATGCTCGGCACTCGGCACCTGTGGAACCACATACTAAGCACCACTGAACTCACACCGGGAAGTATCCACTTGCCAGCCGAGGTCCAGGCCAAGTAGGCCTTTGCCGGCTCAAGCCTTGGCTCTCTTCCTTCCTGGAAGGAATACATATTGGGGTTATATGGGGATAACGGAAAAGAAAATGGAAGCTACCATATTATAATAAGGTATATATAAGGGGTAATATGGGGGATTATACTGGAACGAATTGGTACCCAATAATATAGGGTTTGGGCCCTGTAATGGAGAACTTGAGAGCCACGGGCTGGGACG